TTCAATCTTGGCCATTGATAGGCTTTTAGAAGTCATCTCATATCTGTCTATCACTCTCACCCTCACCCTTGTCACTCTCTCTCTCTCTCTTCTCATTCCCGGAATTCTCTCTCTCTCTCTCTCCCTCTCTCTCTCTCTCTCTCTTCTCCTTCCCGGAACTTTCTCTCGCCCCCTCCTTGGAATCGGCCGAAGCTCCAAGCACCATCACCTCCACCTTACTTCTCCGGTTCAAACGCCACCGGACTCGCCGTTTGAATCGCCATCCATCCACCCGTCCGGCCGCCGGAGTGCCGACTGTTCGCAAAAGCCTGAACAAGCCCAGAAACCAACTGGAAAACACCCATTTTCCCCTCTTTATCTCTCTCTTTAGGCCTCACTCCTAGTACCCCGACCACCACCATCTTGTTCTCGTTCCAACCATCCCAGCCTGGTCGCCGGAAAGTCGCCGGAGCTTCCCATCCAGCCCTGTTCACCGCCGAAGCTCAGTTTGCCTATTCACCGGTTTTCTTGCTTAAACCCTTAGTAAGTGACTTCCTAATCCTTGGTTAGGCTAGTGGGTTACTAATGGCATGTCTAGGGATGGATTAGGGGCTGTGGATAGTTGGTTTAGTGGTTGTATAAGCTTGATTTGCTTAATGGTGCAAGTTTAATGATTCTCGGATTTCTGGTTGTTACTGTACCTCTGCGCTTTGTTATTTTTTTGGTGATCATTGTGGGCCGAATCTAAGGAAGTTTTCCACATGGAATTTTTTCCCAACATCTTTAAGTATAATATAATTTAAATTCAGAATTTTTGGAAGCTGTTTGGGGTCATTCGGAAGTCGGTTTTCGGACCGTCTCAGGGCTGCCGGAGTTACTGTTCACCCGACCTTCTTGTCTTTCCAAATTTTTATAAAATTTTCCAGACCTTATTTCAACAAAATTCCTTCACAAAAATTGTTAAAAACACTTGTTTCTATGACATATAAAAATTTAAAAGCTTTCCAAAGTGATTTGGGTACTGAATGAGTTGTATTTTGATGGTCTGAGGGGCTGTCCGAGCGAACCGGATTCTGTCCGGATTTGAGTGTCAAAACGAGGCATTTACAGTTAGAATTGGATTTTGTGTCATTCATAAAAAAATGTTTATCAAGATGTTTTATACAATATATCCAAATTTCAAAATTTTTGGAGTTGATTTACTATTTATTTCAAGCGGATTTTGGTCACTGCACAACTGCCCAATTTGGCCCCGATTCTGTGCATACTCGGTTTTTCTCTCTCTTGGGGACTTTTCGGAGATTTTGTTATAAAAGAAAGGCGAGGCTTTTTAATTGATGAGTACAGACCTAGTTGGCATTTGGTTAATTCATAAAGATAAGAATCGGTAATGGTTGTTGAGTGTGTGCATGGTCACGACACGTTCCATCTAGGCGGGGGTTCTAGATGATGCCCGAAGGGGGTTTGGATGCCGTCTAGGCGGGGGGTTCTAGACGTTGCCGATCGCGGTGGAGGCCGGATCGATGCTCCTTTATGGAATGCCGTCTGGGCGGGGGTTCCGGACGTTGCCGTCGCCGAAGTAGCGGGACGATGCCTGGTTACGCCAGAAGACCGGCGGGGGTTTGGTGGCCCGAGGGGCCGTTAATAATCTAGACATTTATAATCGTGTGTTATGCATTAGGGAATGCAATGTGCTTGTGTTGCTGTTGAGCATGTCTGGATTAATAACCGTTTTATGCACGTTTACGTTATGTGGTTGTATTATGTGCTCGAGGAACGAATTGCCATGTTATGGCGGTATTCTAACGTGCAGGGCGTGTGCATGTGCCAAGGCGAGGTAAGGACGCCTGTGATTGTCTATGGCACGTTGTTTGTTAGAATTGCACGTTTAGGATTGTTCGGAGGTACGTGTTAGCCTAAGCGAGGCTTAGGTAGTTGTTTATTGAGATTTATTCTCTTTGTTGATTTATAAACATTTCAGACCCACGACCATGACTGATCCGGAGATGCCACTAGGGTACCGTGATGCCACTAGGGTACCGTGATGATCTAAGGATGGGATTATTCTCCTCGTCTCTTTTTGAAGTACCCCTTTTGTAGAGGAGTTAAGCTTACCCACCACCCAATCCTTTTTGTTATGAGTGGTGTCTAGATAGTGGCCTCTAGTAAGGCTTGTAATTGCTTATTTGTGTTTAACGCTATGTTTATAAAATGTATTTGTTGATGTGTTTCGATTGTCTCTCTATTATCCCGTTGGATTACATGTTGTATGGAGAGTTCGTTTTGCTTCTGCTTATGCTATTCGTTAGCGTTCGGTTTGGGTCGGCGACAAATCCTAGGATGTTGCATACTTGACGACCTCAGAGGGATGTTGGTGCGCTCGCGGGGTTCGGGGCGTGACATAAGTGATGTTTATATCTTTCTATACGTAATTCCTTTGTATATCTAATAAGTTAATGTTTTATTTAATCTCCTCTTTTTATAATAAGGATTGACTTAGTGAGGAGATTATTGCTAGTAAATAGAGTTTACGAGTTGAAGTGGAATGAATATATGTGGTAAGGCTTTGTAATAATTATTTTAATTTAATTAATAGTAATTTTAATTTAAAACTATTGTTGAGTGATTAACTATGTTTATTGTTTCTTTTGATTTCGGGTGATTATAATTTGGGGCAATTTCTCATGGATGATTGAGGTCTGAAGTTCAATAATTTAAGTTTTATGGTACGTGTTCTGAACTTTTTATTGTTTATTTTATTTTACAGGTTCGTCTTTTATGGATTGTTGCTATTGACAAATGGGAAACTTTCATTTTTGTTGTTACATTCACCTTCATTTTGCTTAACAAAAATGAAACAGAAAAGAGAAAAAAGAAAAATGGCCGGTTCCTGGGTCCCTAGAACTTGTGACAGGGTAAGATTTGAGGTTTCAGTGTATGTAGGATAAGTTCTAGGTTTCCAAAAATGAGGAACCTATTCCGAAAGATAGGTTTCATGTTCCAAGTGAAACCTAAATAGAACTTAAAACCGTTCACACTTAGTTTTTGGAGTCAACGAACCTGGGTCGGGCCTATCTCATAACTTATTGGGCTTGAATCAAGCCTATCTCGGCTCGTCCGCCCGGATATTGGGCTCGGGTCAGGCCTATCTTGGCCAAGTCATATGATCTAAGCTTAGGTTAGTCCAGATCTCATATCTTATCTTCTTTACTTTTTAATGTGGATGGTTGTGAATTTTGCATTCGCCTCTGACATGTTGCCACGTTCTTTGAGGGGCATGTGATTAGTTTGGCAAATAAAAATTTGACACAAGCTTGTCAAGTGAGGGTTTCCCACATGACATGCATCAATTTTAAATGAGAAAATGCAAGAAAAAATAATCTAACATTTTAAAGGCATGAAAACAATTCCACAAATCAGGCTGAAAATTAAAATTATAAAAATAAATTATTTAAATTTTTTTATGAAAGTCCCAATAATGTAACATTATAGTAATATGAACAGTAGAGTTGAAGTAGGTTGAACAATATTTTGGAAAAAAAAAAGCAGAAAATCAAAATTGAAGTCACTAAATAAGAATTAAATTATACAAGCCAAAAGTATGGACTTAACAAATCATGGGACTTGTAGGTTATTTTATGAACTTTCAGATAATCATATCTCTGGACTCGTACCCTTAAATTATAAAAAAATCATAAGAATTTAAATTATAGTTTAGTTAAAAATATGAATTACCCTTTATGACAATAGCCCATAGGAATTGGGCCTTGGTCCATATCCTACTGGCGCTAGAATCACTAATCGAATCCTTGAACCTGTATAACATCTCAAGGCTAGCGCGGTTGGTCCAGGTGTCTAGGAATTTTTAGATCTAAAATTGGGGGTCACCATATCAAATCCCACTAATTATGTACAAACTTATCTAAGTCAAGCTGGCCCGGTCTCAATCTGTTCATGAAAGTTGCAAAGTGTACCATTGACTTTTAGGCAGCCGAGCATTTGCGCTCGTGGCACTAAAATACAAAAAGAAATAAATAAATTAGCTATATTGATAAAACTAACAAATTGTGAGTTTGTAAATAGACCACATGACTCGACCCAAAAAAAAAAATTAGGCCACACATGCCACATCCTCGGAGTCGAGCACTCTTAGATCGATTTATTTCTTTACTTTTTTTCTCATGTTGTGCAATTTCAAATATTTTGAGCTAGACCAAAACAACCAAATATAAACTTTGTCAACAAATGTCTTCATATAGACAATTGTTCATTAGCCTTGATACATTAATGAACTTTGCTAGAATAACAGTTTTAGGGTTACTGTTATTCTTATAGAGTGTTGTTAACCACAAATTTTTAAAGGAATGAACCCCACAATAATTTTTAATTATTATTATTTTTTGCCCAAAACAAGCTATTATTTTCACAATAAATTCAGGACAGTCACGTAAACATTCTTCTACATTAATTTCTCTTAGGATAAGTGTAATCAAAGTTTCTAAAATCGAACGCTTTCAACATCAAGCATGCCGCCGCCGCCGCCACTCTTTTTCTTGTTATTTGCCAATTAAGATGTTCAACGAAAATGATCCTATTAGTATAGTCGCTCTTATTTACCTGGCTGTTGCGTGAGACATGGTCTTTCTCTATGGTTTTTTGCCACTTGCCATTGATGTTTACCCCATCTCAAAGCATAATCGCGAACTTCCAGGAAGAAACTTCCGTTGGGTATGTAAAATCAGGCCAAATTGAGCCGACACCATCGTAAACTAGATATCAACTCGACTCAAGTACTCAAGGCTCAAAATTCGACATGGTCTTGATCGAGTAAAAGACTTCATGCTAGAGAGCTCGACTCAAACAGAAGATCTAGACACTCAAACTTGACTCAATTAAACTACGTTAGATTAATAAAGGAATTTGATCTCGAGCTTGATCTGAAAAAACAAAAATATATCGAATATGGGTTTTTTTTTATGACTATTGAACATTTACGAAGAATTAATAAAAGCTCGATTGGGCTTGTGAGTTGGTTATTTATGAGCGTGAGTTTATTTGAGAAGTATGAGCTCAAGCTCAATTCAAAATCGAAAAAGCCGATCTCGAATAATCATCGAATTAAGTTTGAATCCTCCCGAGCAGTTTGGCTTAGATTCATAGGTGCCTCCCGCAAACGCATTTTTCCTCCTACCAAAACATTAAGTAAATAGATAGAAAGAACAAGTCGTCTTCCTTCAAGAATCAAGAAACCATCACTAAAACCTATAAAAAAAAAAATCTACAAAGAAGCAACAGTAAAATTAAACTAAGAAAAAAAAGACAATCTACACAAAGAAATGCCGATCATCCAAGCAGTGTGGATTTAGAGGCCATGGGACTTCCACTTACATGCACATTCATGCTCAAAGGTCCTTAAAGAACCGCAAATGGTCTTCGAAAGTCTCGGCACGACGGATTTTGCAGAACGACCCATCTTCTTCAACCTGCAATGCAAACTGCAGTTTCCAAAGGTTTTAGCTCATCAATAAAATGCCAAACCAAAATGCCAAACCAAAGTAGGGATGACTTCAGAGGCAATCTCCAACCGTGTCATGTGAATCACTAAAGAGTGATTACTAAAAAAAGATCCGACAAAAAAGCTTTGGCCAAAAGAAAAGAAGAACCATTGTATAGGTGAAAATGAGATTAATGTTAAGAAAAAGAAGTGACACCATCCATGATAAGAGAACCATGTTACAGTTTCAAGTCGATACTTGCAAACCTAGAAGCCCAGTCAAGGGTCAAAGTTATTCGATCAATTGATTCTTCGACCTTCTTCATTTTGAAAACATAGGACTTCTACATGGCTTGAGAACAAATATTACTGCTTCCCATAATCACACAAACCGATCCTCCATGCAGTGTGAATTAAAGGCCGCAGGACTTCCACTTACATGCACATTCATGCTCAGAGGTCTTCAAAGAACCGCAAATGGTCTTCAAAAGTCTCGGCATGACGGATTTTGCGGATCGACCCATCTTCTTCAACCTGCAATGCAAAGCAGTTTCCAAAGTTTTTAGCTCATCGATAAAATGCCAATCCAAAATAGAGATGACTTCAGAGGCAATCTCCAACTATTATGTAAGTCACTAAAGAGTGACTACTAACAAAAGATGCGACGAAAAAGCTTTGGCCAAAAGAAAAGAAGAATCATTGTATAGGTGAAAATGAGAATAACAATGAGGAAAAGATGGTGACATCATCCATGATAAGAGAACCATGCTACAGTTTCAAGTCGATACTTGCAAACCTAGAAGCCTAGTCAAGGGTCAAAGTTATTTGATCAATTGATTTTTCGACCTTCTTCGTTTTGAGAAGATAGCACTTCCACATGGCTTGAGAACAAACACTACTGCTTCCCATAATCACATAAACCAAAAATCCATGCGTGCTAACTGCTATAACCCAAGTCTTTGGTTAGTGCATTTAGGATACAAAACAATGAAAGACTACTTGAAGGATCTGAATTGCCATCTTCACTTTTAGTCGCTTTTAAGCACTTATGGTTTCATGCTCCAATCTCTTCTTCGCAGTGTTGTCTTGCCAGTTTTGGGTTTAGTTATTTATCAAATTTATTTGTTTTTTCTGACGTACAAAATAGTTCTGTCCAACTAAGATTTCTTTATCAGTGGAAAAAAATCACGTCAGACAAAATCTTCGACAAAAGTGCATTTCTTCTGGTCTTTCACCCGCGATGCTTCTCTTTTCCCCACCAGTTGCCTTTCCTTTTTTTTCTTTAGTCGCCCCATGAGATAGGAAAAGCTTTTACGTTAGATTTACTGGATACTACTATTAAATGATTTCTGTAAGAAGACAGTACTCCATTGAAAGCCACTTCATTTTATTTTGTTTTTACAGGTAAAAGCAATGTAAAGTTAATCAGACTAACTCTTTTACTGGGTTGATTAGCAAATGTTAAGAAACTGAAAGGGTGTCCACGTAAATTTTTTCAAGCAAAGTCGAGGAGAAACAGGATAACGACAATAATGTTCCAAAGCATGAATGAGCAAGGGGCCCATACCCAGTACTCAGGGGGGCGCATCTTGAGATTGTAAGTTGAGGCCATGCTCATGCAGTATGCACCTGCATCATGGACAACGAGGCCCGCTCCCTACACAACAACGCTAGTCTTGCTCAGGAACCTGATGACATTCATTGAACAGATCATAAAGCAGGTAAAAACTAAAAACGTTACCTTAGTGGGTGTTGGAAGTTCTCTGTCCTTCCCCAAGAAATCTGCAGATTCGCACACAGGACCCACCACATCGAAGGTCGAAGCATCGGCATCAGGTGGTGTAGGAGAGATCAACTCAATGTGCTGCAACCATTATTAAAGGTCAATCTTGCAACTAAGGGAGCAAATAGCATTGTTACTTTCTGTCACCTACACAATGACAAAAACAAAAGCAAATATATGGGTTTTCTACTTCACTAAGCCGCTCTCACCCCAAAACCCAAATAAAAATAATGAAAACATATTTTAAAAATGATCTAAACAAAGAAATGAGAAGTTAAACCATAATTTAAGTAACATATTTCATTGTCCCAGCAACAATAATGCCCGGACCAGCTAAGCTCCGCCGCTATTGCAATCCCATGTAAATATGCACAATAATCACAGAAAATTTTCCTCTGAACAATTACAAGTTAAGTTTTTTTGCTAAAACCTAAACAAATTAATGGTGAAAATATAAGGACTGAGGCTCAAACCAGGCTTTCAAACATCAAACAGAGGCAAAAGTGATGTATGATGATGACAGACTAATCTACTCAAACTTGATATTCTTATTCTTATATGAATAAACAGCATCAAATAAAACTCAAAACATTAGCTGAGCCGTTAAAATATGGTTGAGAATCATGCATGAAGATACGCTAACCTGATATGCACCATAAAGACTCGGACGGATAAGTTCTGCCATGCTACCATCAATCACAATGAAATTCTTTGTTCCATTAGTTTTAACTCCAGTTACGCGATTAACCAAACAGCAAGTATTTGCGATTAGCGATCGTCCGGGTTCAATAATGAGTTTGAGATTCCGTGAAAGGACTAGTTCACGGACCTGCATTCAACCAGAAACAAATGTAAATTCAGTGCAATGAGATGGCAGTACAATCAACAATCAGCACATTTGTTTTACTGCCATAAAGTAGAAACCCTTTTAAATAAGAGATTCCGAACAATTTTATTCTAGTAAGTAATCTGATTGCCCAGAAACTAAACATAAATCCCAGTAAAGACACCTAAAAGTGTTGGAAACACCTAAAAATGTTGGGATTATAAAAAAAGTAGCATGAGCAAATTATTACAAGTTCAAAAATAATAATTGCAAATATAATTGTCTTTCAAATCAAATACAACAAAATTTTGTTGCCTCAACAAAAATTAATCATTGGGGCTGCAATAGCATTATGAATTGTTTCTGAAAAACAACACATGACATGAAGATTTAAAGGTAGGATCCTCACTGTGTCAATAAGATCTCTGGGCGTAGGAAGGACAGCACCAGTGTGGTAATAATCTATTCCAAGACCACCTCCAATATTCAAATAATTAACCCCAAATCCTTGCTCACGAATGAGGTCAATATAATTTACCATGAGCACTGCAGCATCTCTGAATATGTCAACCTGAGAAGTACAAGAACAAGGAACCTCTCAATATCACAAGTGTGCCGATTGCCAAGTAAATTAGAATTGAGGGGTAGATGGGCAAACACATGAAGTACAAAGAGATTCCTATGATCCTCATACTCAATTAGGTACAACCAATCAAAGGTAAACTAATAATTAGACAACAACTGCTGTAATCTTTAATATGATTCTAGACAAGATTAAGACCATACCTTGGTAATTGTGGAACCAAGATGGCAATGGGCTCCCACAAGCTTCAGCTCGTTTGGATGTGATTTTACAGCATCAAGAAACCACTGCAGCTTCTCATTCCTAATACCAAACTTAGAGTTCTTGTTTCCCGTGGCAACATATGGATGGACCTGAATTGAAAATCCGCAAAGAATTAGCGTGAGATTTTCAGGAGAAGGAAAGAACCAATGACGCACCAGCCATTATTCATATGAATTGCACACAAATGCTGTGAAATAATGAGCTGGACAGAGAATAGCATGTAAGGTGTGAAATGTAAAGGCCTTATGAGTGGAAGAACCAAAAATTACCTGAGGATCCACGTCTGGATTAATACGAAGTAGGACATTAACCTTCTTGCCTGCTATCCTTGCAGCTGCAACTATGTTCTCCAAGTCAAATTCGCTGTCAACGTTGACAAAGACACCTTCTTGTGCTGCTAGAACCAAATCTTCCAAGAGTTTCCCGTTCCCATTAAAAATGCATCTATCATCAATTCCAAAAATCAAATAGATTAATTCACTTTGTCGTCCAAAAATTGCAAACAATTTCACAGAAACACAATTTAAGCAAACCTATCCCACAATTTTCTTCTTCAAAGGATCGTTGTTGATAAATGAAAAGGCAAGCATTCAGACACAAAGTCAAAACACACTTGCACGCCGAGTGCATCAATAATACGTAGTTCAAAACTGATGGATAAAACTACTTACCCTTACGAGGTAATCCAGCAGAAAATTTGACAAATATGAAATAGCAACCTGAACACATGTTAGACCTTTCTTAACAATCCACCTTTTTGAAAAGCCAATGCAATATTACTGCCCTAAACTTTGATAAAAAGGTATTCAGCCATTCCTGTTGAATCTGCAATGAAAGACCATGACTGATCAGACAGACATGTTGTTTAAGCATTAGATATTTCCACTGGAGGGACTTTATCATCTCCACTATCAGCTGATACATAATCCTCTAACACATTAGTCACTTCAATACGATCCAAAATCAAATGTCCCTTCTGCGATTCATCCCCAGTAACTCATCTAACATTTGACATCCTCAACGATACCCATTGAATCATCCCGTTCTCACATTGTAGCTGATCCCACATATCAGCTCCCTATATCAAAGAAACAAAAGCACCACAAATACTAAGCCTAATGTATTATTTTCGCTTTACAAGTTTGGGTATGATCACCAGCCAAAAGATTTTCAATAATACTGCATAAAACTTTTTCCGACCAGCAAAAATTCAGGGGAACAAAGCATTACTCTCATCTCATTTCCAACTAGACACCAGCTTCCTAATCATTTCTCTCTCAAAAATTTGCCTGTGCTGGGACTAACGCTAACCACATTACACTCAAAACTAAGAAAAAACCAACAAGCACACGCAAATCCATTCTCCACTCATCTAATAAACCACATTTCAAATACCCACTTGCAAATACAAAACACCGCTCCAAGAACAGCATGCGCAAAAAACTCTATTTCACCTGGTGGGATCGAACCCAGCACGAAGCGCCAGCCTCAGCTCATTCCCGCTGACCAACACCGCCCCACAACCCAACCCTCTCAAGTGCTCCAAAATCTTCAAGTTATTGTTCGCCTTGATCGCGTACCCGATGAC